ACCAGTCATGTATGATGAGCATCCTAAGCCCAAGTACCATTGGTCTTGGAATCTTTCTTCGTCTCTTGTTGTGACCATCAACAACATCTCTTCTTCTTCATGCTTTGTAAACTTTGCATCATTTCCTTGGTTCTTTTGTCTTTAGGACAATACTAGAGTAGTGACCATACTTCTGACAATTGAAACACTCAATGTGACTTTTGTCAGGTTTTTGACCACCACCTCTTCCTCTACCTGTTACACCACCTCTTTGGTTGCTTTGGTATGAGTATTTTCTCTGATTCAACCATCCTTCTTCTTACTGATTTTGACTTGTCAAATTATTATAGCCTCATCTACCTTTCCAACTTCTTTTGCCCTTATTTTCCTTTGTTGATTGCGCCTGCAGAGCCACATCACTCTTTGACTTTCCTGAGCTCTTTCAGTCATCCTTTGTTCATGCGATTCAAACGTCTCTTGAAGTTCTTCTTTTTTCAATCTTGACAAATCTTTTGAATCTTTTATGGCTACTATCATGTGGTCGAACTTTGGAGCCAATGACCTCAAGGCCTTTGTAACAACTGATCTTGATGTCAACACTTCTTCACATACCTTGATTTGATTCACCAGTTTTGTAACCCTAGTGAAAAAATCTGCTATGCTTTCACTTTCTTCCATATGAGCAATTCATATGTTCTTTTGTGATTTTGTAACCTCGCATACTTCACTTTCTCTACACCTCCAAATGATTTCTCCAAGATTTCTCATATTTTTTTCGCTAATTCTACATCACCAACCTTTTCAAAATTTTCTGGATAAACTCATTGATGAATTATAAAGAGAGTTTTATAATCTTTCTTCTTCAATTCTTTGTATGCAACTTTTTCTTGGTCCGACGCGTTTTCTGCAAGTGGTGTTTGTCATTAATTCACTAGATTTCAAAGATCTTGATAACAGAAAATCACCTTCATCTGTTTGCACCAATTTTTCATAATTCTGACCCTTTAGAATTGGGAGACTCGTCGAGAAATGTCCTTTTGAATGATTCATCATCATCGTATTTTTATTCCCACAAATCGCTCAGGCAGTACTCTAGATACCAGATATTGGAATTAAACTCAAGACTTTGAGTAATCCTTTTTCACACGAGTGAATCAACCAATCTTGGTTGCAATATTGTATTGCTATAAAATGGTGATGAAAACAAGAAAAGAAAATTGAATTAGGGAAGAAGAATTTCTGCAGAGTAACTCTCTACTCTCAAAACTGCAGCTTTTATTCCAGTGAATCTCAATACAATAATATGGTTACTCACTATTTATATATTTGGCTTGCTTGCTCCTTAAGCAAAGCCCAAATACTTAATTCTGCCAACACTATAAAATTAGGCATACGTCAAAATTCCTGTCGAGATACGCTACCTCCACATTTAAACACTCTCATAATTTCAACACACAACATTTTAACAACAACAGATTCTGTCAAAAATACTATTTTAACACAAAAAATTACAATCTAACACAATTTACATATATCATTCATTTTGTTATCTCTTATTATTTTTTAAATTAAAATAAAGTTAAAATTAACTCTATAACAATATAGGCAAATCATAATTTAGTGTAACTTTTTTCTTTCTTAGCCTTTTTAATTTTTATTTTAAATCTTAACTTCTCTTTTTTTTTTACTAACGGTTAAACGTTTTATTTTATTATTTTATAAATAATTTAAAGTAAAATTAAAATTAAACAAAAATAATAAAAGATTTACATTTTACACGCATAGACATTAACATTTTATTATTTTTCATTATTTTATAAATAATTTAAAATAAAATTAAAATTAGACAAAAATAATAAAATGATTTATATTATGATAGCTCTTGCTATTAATTAGAAGTTGTTTGGTTTAGAATTGACACATCTCCATAAACGACATTTTCAAGGAAAAAAGTGTTTGTGCCACTATCTTTGCCAAATTATATGCTAATCACATGAAAACTCTTGTTTTTCTATTATTTTTTTCACATAACAAAAAAAAAATATTTTTACAAAAATCAAATTCAAAGCTTAAAATCTTTTTATGAGATAAGATGATTAGATAAAATAATTATGGTAATTACTACTAGTGGATGGTTGTCTAACAAATCATAAAATAAAGAGAGAGAAAAAAAGGCACTTGCCACACTCATCTCATCTTTTGAACTCCACAAGAAAAAATATATTAAAAAATATAAAATATAACGAGTTAACTCATCTCATACGCAACTATTTTCACACATCCCAAGTAAAGACAAACGAGTTAACTCAATCAACAACAACTTTACTCATCTTCCATTTCAATCATCTTCTTCTTGCTTCATCGTTCTTACACCTAATTTCTACAACCCCATTAAAATTCAACAATGACCCGTTTATCGAATCAACTTACATCACCATTCTTCATTTCAACATTTCAAGAAGGTTTTTAAGTGTGGACCGATGTTTTCAGAAGTTGCACAGAAACTGTTCGATGAAATTCCTCAACCACGTCGTGCACACCAAACCCACCTCTCAACCTTGGCCTCATCGTTCATAGAAAGCTGGCAGCTTTTTCCATGGTTAACCAAAATGTACCTCCTTACATCCTCTGGTAACATCAGTGTGTACTTCTCCTCACACTTCCCTTGTTCATCCAAAGAATGGCCAGTTGAATTCGACCTCAAAAGCTTCGGTTTTGATGCATGCGCGTCACAAGAATTGATACTTTCTCCGATTTGGTTTGGGTTTGGGTCATTGGAAGCATTATTGAAAGTGATTTCTCGTTCTGGTTCGGGTTCGGTTTCGGTTTGAGAACTTTCTTCACACATATGGTCATTATTGAAATGGGTTGGAATGATAATTGGGATAGAAACCTGACAAGAATCTTGGTTAAGATTTGCGCGACAAACAGGACATGTGACATGCGAAGCTAGCCATGAGTCAATGCATTGAGGGTGAAAAACATGGTTGCATTTAGGAAGTAATCTCAAGGTATCATTTCCTTTGAAATCTGTTAAACAAACAGCGCATTCCAATGGTCCTTTATCTGTTTTAAGATCCTTGATAGCTGAGTAAAAGAGGATAGGGAAAGTGTTGAGGAGTTCTTTGTTGATACCATGAGAACATGAACAAGGACAATCAGCGGCGTGGTTTGTTCTTGTGATGATGATGTGTGACTCAACACAGTTTCTGATGTAGAAAAAGATGATTCCTAAGAAAAGGAGTAGACAAAGTATGGAACCTACTGTGATTGCAAAGGAAGGCTCCCATTTATGATGAGAGATGTCTGTTGGAAGAGGTTGCATGGATGTTTGTGATTCAACATGGTTGAGGAATAGAAGGAGGAGGAAGGGAATCATAGATGTTTTGAGATGAAACATAACTATGTTTAGTTGAAAAAGTGGAGTGTGATGTGTGGTTTTAGAGAGGAGGGGAATATGAAGAAAAAGAAGAGGAACGAGTGTTATAAAGGGGATAGGAGAGAGGAGAGAAGAGGAAAGAAGAAGGGAAGTTGCATTTGTTGCTTGAAGAACAAGGATTTGGTTTAGTGGAGAAAAGCTTGAGGAATGGATGAACGGTGAAGAGTGAAGTGTGAAGTGAACACTATACTTTTTATGTTCCTTTTCAACAATTCTAAGGGGCTATAAATATAGCACAAACTTAGAAGATATTTTAATTAAGAGCAATGATAATCATACATCCAAATGCCAACACTACACCGTAATTGTATATCTATAACATACCAATTCTATTTTTTAATAGTTTATTTTAGTATGGATTTCTGTGTAAGGCCAATTTATTTTCTTGTAGCATACGGTGTGTATACGGTGTATGTGAAAATGGTGTAGAATAGCACAATGTAAAAATGGTGTAGAAATAGCAGAGCTCTTTAATTAATTCATATATTAAAATAACTTTTTCTTAATAGAAATACACACAGATTTTGATCAGTAAAAAATTCTCCCTCCTTCCAAAATACTATCGGTGTAGTAAATAAAATTTATTTTAAAATAAATATCACTTTTACTTTTTAGTGTTTAAATGGTTGATATTATTCTAATAATATTATTAATTATTACTCTATATAGTATTTTTTAAATATATTTATAAGGTAAATTTAGTAAAAATATAATATTTTATGACATTATTATTATTGTTATTATTATTTTTAAAATTTTAGTATTCGGCCTTTCAACTAACTAATGTTTGGTATAAACTGACTCAACATAAAAATTGACGGTATATAGTAAGATTTGAACTTGAGATCTTAAGAAGAGCACACTCTCAAGATTCAAAGTTTCAGATCAACCCTTGGAAGTTATATTATTATATTTTTTAGTTTGTGTTCAAAAATTTTATACGAAAGTTATTTTAAAACGAAGAGAATAACATATAAGTGATAATTACTCTCTCCATTTTAAAATAATTGTTGTTTAAAATTTTTATACATAAATTAAAAATTAAATAATATTATTATATGATATTATATTTTTATTAAATTAGTTTTATTAATATGTTGTATAGAATAATAATTAAAAAAGATAGTTTAAAAAATAAGAAAATTTTCAATATTAAAAAGTGAAAACAATATTTATTTTGAAATGAATTTGTTCTTTAAAAGGACTATCCTTTTTAAATATAGAAAATAGTTTATGGCAGAGATTTTGCGATAAAAAATACTCCATTGATAGATTAGTTTATAACAAAATAGTTAATCGAACACTAATAAGCTTATTTATATCTTATACATAAAATTAATTTTATTGAATTTATAATATTTTTGTAATTTATTTGGTTGATTCCTTTTTATTAAACGAGATGACAACAATTTTTTTTAACTTAATTAAATATTTTAGTTTCGAATTTAATCCTAGATACACGTGCAGTAATGTTAAATTTTTTTGAATTTTTTTTATTGTATTCTAACTGTTTATAAAAAATGTTAGTTGTTATTTATTTATTCATTTTCACGATTCAACGTCATTTTTTAATTTAAAAAAACCACATGTTTTGTTATAAAAGGTGAAGAAAGCTGGTTTTGATGGTTCAATTCATGTCTGTATTTTTCATTCCCTAGTATTCGATTTCAGTTTCAATAAAGCACACAAATTTTGATAAACTTTCCTTCTGGCAGTATTGCATCACTTCATAGTTACATGTTCCAAATAATATATTATTTTATTTTTAAGCTCTTATTCCGTAATAGTAATGTTTTACAACTAGAATTTATCTTTTTTCCACCAAAAAAAGATGGCTAATGATTGGATCTGAGACAGAAAAGTAGTAAAAATAAAATGTGCGTACAAAATGAAAAACATCCTCACTAGAAGGAAAAAAAAAACATTTCACGTTTAATAAAAAATAAGACATGTAGTTCACGTAGCTTTAAGTTGTTTACAAAATGGATGCCAACTTGGCGAAAACCTACCGGAACAACTCATATGAATGGCAGCGCTGTTTAACCCTTTTCTGACGAGCTATTCATCTTTCTTTCTATGAATTCCGATGTGTTTTTTCCAGAAACCAAACAAGCTTCCAAGGTAGTTGATTCCCAACCTGCAGTTTCTGTGGAAGTTCCAAAACTTCAACCTGTCAAGTCTTTTGTTTAAGCTCTTAAGGGGGTTTGCTATTGGTTGTATAGTTCAGTTAGTTTGTTGATGAGTTAGTTAGGGAGATAGGTATTAGTTAGTTTTCTAGTATAAATATATTGTACTATGCAGTTAGTTTACTAGCTCCATATTGTAAATCAAACCATTGAATACACTTTATTTTTATCTTGTTTCAACATCATCAAAGCTTTTCATAATTCATCTTCTCCAATTGGTTGTAGTACTGTGTATGTTAGATTCTATCAAATTGGTATTGCAGAGCTCGGTTCGATTGCTGCAGTCAGAAGATTCTTGAAGGATGGGAAATCACAGCAATAATATCTCTACACAGCTGCAAGTTTTTGAAGGCAAGAACTTTGATCAATGGATCGTGAAGATGAAGGTGATCTTTAGGTTTCAAGAAGTTCTTGAAGTAGTGAATGAAGGCATAGCAGTCTTGACAGCCCATGCAACTAAAGAACAACAAACTGTTCACAAAGAACCGAAGAAGAAGGATGAGAAAACCATGTTCTTGATACATCAAAGTGTGAGCAATGAGATCTTTGAGAAGATCATGCACTATGAAAGTGCAAAAGAAACATGGGATGCAATGGAGAAGCTGTATGCTGGTGATGGGAGGTTGAAGAAGGTAAGATTGCAAGCACTAAGAAGGCAGTATGAAGTGCTGACAATGGAAGAAGAGGAAACCATCAGTCAGTACCTTGACAAAGTGATCACTCTCACAAACCAAATGACAAGGAATGGTGAAATGTTTATTGATGTAATGAAGGTTGAAAAGGTCCTCAGAACTTTGACACCAAGGTTTGATCACATTGTGGTTGCATTGGAGGAATCTAAGGATCTAAACTCCATGAAGATAGAAGAATTGCAGGCAAGCCTAGAGGCACATGAATTGAGATTGACTGACAGGATCAAAGAAAGAGGAAAGGGTGCATCTTTGGATCAAGCATTACAAGCTCAATATGTGAAGAAAGAAAAGTCTAAGAAGGAGTTTAGTGCTATAATTGCCAGAAGCGGGGGCATTATGCATCAGAATGCAGATCAAAGAGAGTACCAAGGAGCAAGGATGAGACTCAGTTTGCTCAAAATGAAGGCTCATATTCAGATGAAGTGTTACTGATGGTAACAGTCAAGGATGAAGAAGAAAGAAGTGGTGAATGGTACCTAGATACTGGGTGTTCAAATCACATGACAAGCAAGAAATCTTGGTTTTCTGAACTAGATGAATCTGTGAACAGAAATATTAGATTTGCAAACAATATCATAGTATGTGCAGTTGGCATTGGAAAAATTCTGATCAATAGGAAGGATGGAAAGTGTTGCACCCCAAAATTTGACCAACTTTTCTCTACCTAGCTTATGTTTCATTTCATTCACATTAACATTATCATTGCATTTCATAGACATGTGTGCAGGAGATCAAGAGGTATGATTACCCATCAAGAGCTATACAAGACTATGAAGCTAGCCAAGGAGGTTATTCAAGTGTTCAAGGGTAGATATCTTTGTCAGAGAAGTCAGAAGTCAAGTGGTTGTGTGCCTCCTAACTTGAGAGTTGTGAGAAGACCTCAGATGATTCTGAAGCCATGAAGTTAGACTTGAGGCCTTGAGAGAGCTCATGAGATGTCTTGAAAGCCATCATGAGGCCTAGACAGGTCATTGTGCAAGATTAAGAAGACCCAGCCATGAGTGGTGCAGTTAGGGTTTGACTGGGTCAACCCTAGGTCAACTGATGATTTGGAGAGGGTTGAGACCTAATTCAAGAGCCATGTGATCATGGATTAATACATTGAGATGTTATAAGGATGATTCTAAGGTCAACTCATCATGATTGAAGAGTTTGAGAAGTTTCAAGCTAGGGTTTCTAAGGCTTGACAGTGTAAAATCCCCTAGTTTGACCTCTATCTTCAAGGCAGTTTAGCCCAAGATGTGATTGTCATCTCATATTGCCCCCAACATGAATGTTGTAGAGCTTGATCTTAGCTTTAATTTGAGTGCTATAAGTCCTTGATAGGATTTATAGAACTCAAGTTATGACTTTGACAAGTTACAGGTCATCTGAGGTATGTGAATTTGGGAGCTTGAAAGTTACCCAACTTGCATCAAACTTTTGCTCAAGAAGGACGATTCCTGTGAACTTTTGATTAAAATGAATGTTGTTCCTAATCTTATTAGCTTTCTATAGAGTACTAGAAGTCCTTGATAGGATTTGTAGAACTCAAGTTATGGCTTTGACAAGTCAAGGGCATTTTGGTCATTTGGAGATTACAGGTCATTTCAAGCATAAGGCCATAACTCCTATTTCCAAGCTCCAAATGGAAAAATATTCAACATCAATCTTGTTCAAAATGATGTTTTAAGGCTAGTAAAGAGGTCATGAGATGTTGGAAGGGCTTGTAGATCAAAGTTGCAAAAATGACCTAAAATAAGGGTATAAGTTAAATGAATCAAAGTTGGAAATTGATATTTTCAACCTACACATCCAAACCATGGCATGTAATATATCATTTTGACTCTAGAAAACATTTTAAGAACATTGGTTTAGCCATATTTTTGAGTTGAGGCCTAATTTGTGGACTTGCTTTGGAAAGTACTTGCTTGCATATTAAGTAACATGTGCAAAACATAGAATCAAGGCATAACCAAGGGCCTTTGCAAGCTAAACTCTTTCAAAATGTCACTAGGGGAGAAATTGGAAGAGAATGGGATTGATTTCAAGCTGCAAACAGAGCTATGCATATCATGATATGTGATTGAAAATCTCATGACAT